TTTTGTTTTTGTTTTTTTGCCAGTCATGGTGCCTGAACTCTGGGCCTGGGTGCTGTCCCTCAGCTCTTCAGCTCAAGGCTAGTGCTTTACCACTTGAGCCGTAGCACCACTTCCAGCTTTTTTTGTTTATGTGGTGCTGAGGAATCGAACCCAGGGTCTCATGCATGCAAGGCAAGCACTCTACCACTGAGCCACCTTCCCAGCCCCAAGATCTGTTGTTTAACCAGACAACCTGGGAGCCGCCACCACGTGCCCTTGATCTCCCCTCCTCCTCCCCCACCCCTCCTTTGGGCAAGGCATCAAGCCTGTGTGTACATGTGTCCCAGCTGACTGCCACATACCCTGACCAGCAGCTTCACCTGGATTCCCACCATTACCTCTGCTCTCTCCCCGTGACCACTTTTCGGTTTCTGCAGTCAGGGTGGCCCTGCTAGCCCAAGTAAAACTAGCTCCACAGTGGCTGCCTTGTTCGTGAAGGTCACATAGAGGTCACAGAGGCCTCCATGGCCCTGTTCCATATTTTCCCACCACATTCTAGAATCTCTGCCCAGCTCTGCTCCCTCCCCATCTTCCTTGGGCTTCTTTGGGTAGCAGACTGTGCCTACAACCCGAGATCCTGGTTTATATACACCTCCAGGTTATATGCTAGAGGCAGCTGATCTGTCTCCCTTTTAGTTCCTGTCCTGTAGTTGGAGAGAGGGCTGCCCATGCTGCCCAGACCCCAGGCGTCCTTCACAGAGCAGGTTTCCTCCTTCCCCGAAGCCACTGGCCAGCAGGAGGGCCTGAGCAGCGCTCATTGAGGCCTTCCCTGGATCCTCAAAGGCTGAGGAAATTGTCTGGTACAGTTCTCCAGGTGATCCTGCCTTGAAATCTAGTCACCATAGCCACTGCCGCAGCAATATGAAACACACACAGAGACAAAGAGAGTGAGTGATCAGTGATCACCCTATTGAGGCCTAGCCAAGTCAGCCATGCCTTTCCTAACCCACTCTGCTCTGTGTGGGCCTTTTCTGTACTCCTACCAGTCTCGGCCTTTGTGATGCGATTCCCGCAGCATCTTCAGCCCTCTTTCTTCCTTGATGTCTTTGTGGAGACCACCCACAGTATCTATCTTGCAGAGCCCCTCCATTACTGTCAGCCGATCCCATGTATTGGAGGCAAATAGGAGTAAGGGAGATTATGCACAAGGTCCAAGCCAGTCATAGGAGACCACCAGGCAGTTCAGGAGCCAGGCAGGTACAAAGGCCAATAAGACTGTACCTCAGTCCTGCCCTTTGAGGTGGTAGGCGGTTCTCTGAGTTCCTGGAAGGCACTCACAGTGGAAGAAGAAGAAGAAGCTGGGATGCCAGACCTGTCTGTTGGAGCCAAGGGTTATGCTGCCTAAGCATCCCTGACTGTTGGGGCTGGGTGTGGGGAGGGGGCTCCTTAGTACTCACTGGGTTAATGATTAATAAGTGTTGTGATGATGGAATTGGGGGGGGGTGCACTGGCAAGCATGGCTGGCCTCTCGTCCTTCATGTTCCCTTCTTAGAAATCAATCCTCTCACCTCCCTGGAATCGGCTCTCAGCTGGAGTCCTTCTCCTCACTTTGTCCTTCAGTTGCACTCAGGTGTCATACTGAGCCAAGCAAATCTCACTTCACTCTGCTCACTCACCCCCTGACCAGGGCCTGAGGTCTCATGGCAGCCCGGACCTTCCACAGTTGATATCCTGGCCCCAGACCAACCCTTGCCCTTTTGTGTTCCTGCTAGAGCCTAGGTCCTTCCTATGTGCTCACTGTTGTGCATGAGGTATTGTATAAGAGGTGCCTACTGCTGTTCAATCGCTCACCCCCCTTTTGCCAAAAGCCCTGTTCCATCCCAGAACTACTCAGGAGATCCCGGTATTGGTCCCTAATTTGATTCTGGCTTCAGAATGCTTTGCGATTCTCACTGTAGCACCTGCTTACTCTCATCATCCTTCTGCTTCTAAGCCTATGTGGACTTCTCAGTCCTAGCTGCCTGGCTTATTTTCCACCATCACTGGACCAGGCAGCCTCTCTCACAGCCATAGCTGTCGTCCTGGCTCTCAGCAGCGCATACGCTAGGCTCCTTACACATCCATCCAGTGTGTTAAAGTGTTAGAGATGCGTTGTCGTTGTCGTGGGGTTGACTGGTATTGTATGCCCTTATCACAAGTGTATCTAGTATCTTCTCTCTTGTTGGGTGAATGTCTGTGCCCTGCCCCTTCCTCTTCCTCTCTTCAAGCCAACTCCTATTCATCCGTTAAGGGCCAGCTCAGTGACTTTACCCCCACCCCCTGTCATTGGTAACTTAGTCCTGACCCTGTATTCTTGAAAAGCTTTGTCACCCTCTTGCTCTCCCTCCTGTCTCTGAGCTCAGGGATAGCACATGAAACAGCATGTGATTTTATGGTTGACACTCAGAATGCTCGTGTTTTAACCTGACATACCGTATTTGTGCTGCCTTCTCTGGGTGTAATGTGGTTTCCCCAATCATTTGGTCATCTCTGGAGGCAGGCTCTGCATCATAGCCTCCTTCTGTATCTCTATTCCCCAGTCCTGGTGCAGTGTGTACCTAGAATGGTTTGACAAATCTTGAGTCCAGATAGTAGTGTGTACCTCAGCTGTAGGGCCCTTGGCAGTCACTTTGACCTCTGTTTTGCATTCTAGATCAGCTGTGTAATTTGTAGGATCCAGTGTAGGGCTTTTTGCGCAAAAGTCATTAAGAATGGGGCTGGGAAGGTGGCTCAGTGGTAGAGTACTTGCCTTGCATGCATGAGGCCCTGGGTTCCATTCCTCAGCAGTACATAAGCAGAAAAAGCTGGAAGTGGCATTGTGGTTTAAGTAGTAGAGCGCTTACCTTGAGCTGAATTGCTGAGGGACAGCGCCCAGGCCCAGAGTTCAGGCCCCACAACCAACAACAACAACAAAAAGAATTTCAGAGTAGGGGTGGGGCGGTGGGGATATAGCTTGCCTAGCATGTCTGAGGCCTCTGGCTTTGATCCCCAGTACTTTAAAAAATATAAAAGAAGTAGAAGAAAAGGAGGGAAAGGAAGCAAGCAAGCTAGGTAGCTCACAGTCAGGAAATCCACAAATGCCTTGTATGTGGTACCAGCAAAGAAGAAAGCCAAATATGGGGTCAAGTGCCACGTCCCAGCCTTCAGCCCATAAAGTTACCTGTCTCTCATTTCATGTCCTCCAGGGAGACTGGCCAGGGACAGGCGTTTCTTTTACGAATGGTGAAGTGAAGAGCAGAGAAGGGTGATGGGTCTCTGACTGGCCTCAGGCTGCACAGCCAGTCAGTGGTAGCCGACCGGAGGCAGAGCCAGCTCCCGGTGCACACTCACGGTCTGACCTGTGCCAGGCCCAGGTACCTTGAGCCTCAGTTTTATTTCTGACCTAATTCTAAAATGACAGCTGGGACAGTTGACTGGTCCGCTCTGGTCAGTCTGTTCTTCTGACCCCTTCCCTTAATGTCCTGCATGCACAGCTCTCCTCTGCTCCTTGGAAGAGCCTGACCCTATAGCCGAAAGTGACAATTAGCAGTCGCCGTAACTGAAGAAATTAAAGTCCTTCAGAAGTATGTAAAGACTCTCTTTTCATCTCTTTTTGAAGGAATGTGGAGACTTGGGTTGAAGTTCCTGGGGTTCCTTGGTATTTTGATGCTTTGATACCTGCAGGACTAACAGAGCAATTAGTTGCTATAAATAGTTGGTTCCTGTAGGGCTTGCCTGATGGTAGAGGCGGGAGGCAGGGTGGATGGTGGCTCTTCATTCCCAGAGCCATCCTCTGGATGGAAGGACACACACAGCAGAGGGTCTGAGGCTTAGAGAGATGCTGGATTTTAGAAGAGGCCTTTGAAGTCCCACTTCCTCTGGAAAACATATCTTTCTCAGCCCTTAGACACACACAGCTTTCTGTGCAAAAGTCACTGCTGCCAGTGGCTCCCACTTGTAATCCTAACCACACAGGAGGCTCAAATCTGAGAATCACAGTCACAGTCAACCTGGACAGGAAAGTCTGTGATACTCTTTAGCTCCAATTAACCACCAAAAGGCTGGAAATGGAACTGTGGCTCAAGTGGTAGAGTGCTCTCCTTGAGCACAAAATCTCAGAGACAGCATCTAGGCTCTGAGTTCAAGCACTAGGATCAGCATCAAAAAAACAGAAGGTCATTGAGGAAGTGGAGGAGGGTTTTTCAAGCTGTCCCAGCTCTTATGCTGTCCACAAAACCTATTTCTTGGTGGTGTCCTCAAGCCTCTTAGGGTAGGCCCGCGTGCTAAGAGGCTGCCCTGAAGTCAGGTGCTCTGAGAAGTAGGTTCAGGGTGGTCTCAGGAGGTCTGTGCACTGCGGGGCAGCCAGCAGGGCTCCTTCCCCCACCCCTCAGCTGGCTGTGCTTCTCGGTAGTAGCCTGCCAGGTGAAGGGGCTAGTGGGGAGGCATTAGCAAAGAAAGCAGTATTCTTCCATTCCTGGAGGAAGGGTATTGAGTAGCACTTCGGCTACTGCAGCTAGGCTGGCTGATGTGTGAGTAAGTGTCACTGTACTTTTGGGTATGTATAACATGTGTCTGTGCCGGTTGAGGTTGGCCCAGGTGGACAGATGCTCCGTTGGCGCACATGTGTGATTGGTGGGTGGGGCGTCATCTCTTGCAGGTGTGAGACTCATCCCTCAGCTGTTGCACTGAGTCATTCTGGTCCATGATGTCTCTGGATTGGTGACTAACCCAGGGGAGAGGTGTGTGGTGTCAAACAGGCCGACCTGCTTCAGCTGGAAATGACAGGTCCGTGTGCTGCAGTCAGCACTTGGTCCCGGAGGTGTTGGAGCAGGTCCCCTGGGCTTGCCTGATACACAGGTATTTCTGGACTCTGGCAGAGTCCCAGGCCATGAGCTTCCCGCCAGGAGTCTGGTTCCTTCAGCACGGGGCGTGTACATGGGCCTCACTGGGGCTGCGGCCTCCGGGGCCTTCCCACTCCTCCCATAACCCATGTTCTGTTTCCACAGGGCGCCACCTTCCTATTTCTTCCTGGCCGCAGCCTTGCCCTCACAGTTCAGCACTTGTTTGCCTGAAGTTAATTTCCAGAAGCAGGTAAGGACCTGAGGGGAAGGAGCCTGCTGTGTAGTCATGGGACAGTGTTGGGTAGAGGCAGGGCTGACCAGCAGCTGAACTCCCCAAGTTTCCTTTCTCCATTTCCCTTACCATACATTTCCTCGAATGTAGGGGGTCTTTTTTTCCCCCCTCGATGGTCCTGGGCACTGAACCCAGGGCCTATGCAGAGTCAGCACAGGCTGTTCCACTGAGCTGCTCCCCTCTAATGTGTGGGTTCTTAAGGTAAATGTGGGGCTGCCCTTTCTTCAGGCTAAGATTTGCATAGACTCCCGGTTAATATTTTATATAAACTCTACTAGTCACACAATTAGATGATGTATTTTTGTCTGATAGAAACTTGGTGAAAATGTGTATATCCTTTTATGTGTAAGCATTTGATGTATTTTATTGTTGTTGTTGTAGTGCTAAGGGTGGAAGCCAGGGTCTTACCTATGCTAGACAAAAGTTCCATTGCTGAGCTGTACCCCCAGTCCTCATGATATATATATATATATACACACACACACACACACACACACACACACACACACACATGCGTGCCAGTTCTGGGGCTTGAACTCAAGCCTGGGCGCTGTCTGTGAGCTTTTGTACTCAGGTCTACCACTTGAATCACAGCTCCATTTCCAGATTTTTTGGTGGAGACTTGGGTTGTAGTTCCTGGGATTCCTTGGTATTTTGATGCTTTGATACCTGCAGGAATAACAAAGCAATTAATTGCTTTGTGGGTTCCTGTAGGGTTTACCTGATGGTGGAGGAACGTAAGAATCTCACAGACTTTCCTGCTCAGGCTAGCTTTGAACTGCACTTCTCAGATCTCAGTCTCCTGAATAGCTAGTATTACAGGTGTGAATTACTGGCACCTGGCTCTTATGGTGTATTTTTAAATGTACAAAACAAGAGACAATTGCTATGACCCAGAATTCACAAGTGCCTTGTGTACCTAAAGGACTCATTCATGTGATCTGTCCTGGCCTAGGTTATATGGTATTTTCTTGGCAGGTGCAAAACCCCTATGTGTATAGATATTCTACTTTATGTAATTGTGGGTATACAAACAGCATTAGTTCCCATTTATAAATAAAAAAAATAAGTGCAGATAACTGATTGTATTCAGAGCCACTTGAGCCCATCAAAGGGGAAGCTAGCTTTCCAAGCTCTTACCAGAATCAGTTGCATTTCCAAGATGGGAAACCCAGAAGATAGCCCAAGCCACCCAGCCTCTGATGGCGGCGTGTCACATTCTTTTTTTTTTTTTGGTCGGTTGTGGGGCTTGAACTCTGGGCCTGGTGCTGTCCATCAGCTCTTCAGCTCAAGGCTAGCACTCTACCACTTGAGCTACAATGCCACTTCTGGTTTTCTAATGGTTTATTGGAGGTAAGAGTCTCACAGACTTTCCTGCCCCTGCTGGCTTTGAACCACGATCCTCAGATCTCAGCCTCCTGAGTGGCTAGGATTACAGGCATGAGCCACTGGCGCCAGGCTGCATGTCACATTCTTGTCTTGTTCTCTAGGTACTGACTTCTAAGGTGAGATCAGTGTCTCAAAAGCTGAAGATCATGTGGTAGTCAATATTAGGTTCATGTAGAGGCAGGGTGGCATCCGTGCAGACATCTGGGGTATCTCCCAGAGCGTGCAGGGGCCTCTCAGAGTTGCAGCTCCACAGTTGTTCTTTCTGTGAATCTTTTTTCTTTTTTTTTTCTTTTTATTTGTCAGTCATGGGGTCTGAACTCTGGGCCTGGGTGCTGTCCCTCAGCTCTTCAGCTCAAGGCTAGCGCTCTACCACTTGAGCCACAGCACCACTTCCAGCTTTTTCTATTTATGGGTGCTAAGGAATGGAATCCAGGGCCTCATGCATGCATGGCAAGCACTCTACCACTGAGCTACCTTCCCATCCCTCTTGGCTCATCTTTGACTAATGCTGAGAATTTTTCTTAGGATTTGGAAGGAAGGTGCTGCCCTATTTTAGATGATAGGGATAGCCAAGACCACAATTGGGAAGCATCATTATTTTTTATTCCTTTTTTTTTGGGGGGGGGTCCGGTCGTGGGGCCTGAACTCTGGGCCTGGGCGCTGTCCTTCTTCAGCTCAAGGCTAGCGCTCTACCACTTGAGCCACAGTGCCACTTCTGGCTTTTTTCTTTTTGCTTATGTGGTGCTGAGGAATTGAACCCAG